AGAGTCATCGACAACCTGAGGTTTCTGCTTACCTACGTGTCTTTTGGCTGCAGGTGGACCTACCTCAATCTTTTTCGAGCCTGGTCCTTTTGAAATCGGTTTGCCTTCCTCCTTCTTTAAGGAGCTTGGCTTCTTCTTCTGTACACCTGATGGCACTGAAGAGGCTGACTCAGGGTGAAAAAGATCAATGTTTCCACGAAAGGGCTTTGCACGATCAATGTCACTTCTGACAATCTCCTCTGGGATCACGTAGTCCTCCTTGATCTTGTAGATGGTCTTGCCCTTCCAGAACTCTTCACTCTGTTCAGAAAACCTCTTCTTCTCAGTGCGCCAGTTGTCCTTGTGAAGAACCTTCTTCCTGCTCTTCTGGAATTCCATGTGAGTTTCTCTCTCATCAAGAAGTTGATCTTTTGGAATTGGAGTTTTCTCTGATCGAGTCATCTCATGTAAGTTCATTCTCTTGTCCTTGTGGTGCCTGATGAGTTCACGACGTAGTGGATCAACCTGCCAGTAGTCACCAGTCACCAAAGCTTCTCCTTCATGATCATCTTGTTTGACAGCAATCTGGCTGTACTCAAAGTGATCGTGTTGTGAATAGAAACTTTTGACTTGTGGGGTCTTGAAATGAACTTGGCTCATGTACCATGCTACATCTTGTAGGTCGAGAATGAGATGAGTACTAATGGCTGTCCTCAAAACCATTTTTCTCATGCCAATACGTGCGCAGGACAAATAAGCCTTCTCTGGAGTAATTTCAAATTGAAATCCAAGGTTTCTCATCTGTGGAAGTGACATCAACAATGGGACATCACCTTCTTCGACAATGTCGAATTCTGTAAACTGAGTGTTCCATCCATGATCATACATGAATATCACGAGCTTCTCAGTACATTTTGATTGTTGTGAGTTTGCAAAGAAAAATCTTGAACTTGTTGGCTGAATTTCATACCAAAGTCCACTGTTGGGATGTGAGTCAACATATCTGCAAAATGCTTCAACTGCTCGTCGAGAGCCCATAGCTCTTGTGCATCCAAGATCCAGAATACACACAGTTGGTGGTGCAGAATTCTCTGTGTGAAAAGCTAGTCCATTCTCACATGCCGGATCAGTTTGTACAGTATGAAATGAAAAAGCACTCTGCTGTGATGGTTCCTCTATCTCTGTAGAGCATCCATGTGAAAACAATGATGTGCCTTCTGCCAATGGCTTCCATGAAGCCTCACCTTCTTGAAGACCAACTTGCCTGGGCACTACAGCTGGACGTTGTTGTACACCTTGTCGTAGTGCACCAACTTCTCCAACCAGAACAGGGAATCTCTTCATTTCTCTCCTGTTTTGATGTGCTTTTGCATCACGTTGGTTCTGTCCTCCACGACGAGTACGTCGTTGTTCATCTTGTGCTGCATACGTGGATGTCAAAACATCAACACGTGCTGGCTCTGTCTCTGCAACATCAACACGTGCTGGTTCAGTTGTTCCAAATGAAAAGAAACCATGACCAGAACTTGAAGCTGCAGAAGAATAATGAGCTTGTTGAGTTGGTTGATTCTGTATGGCAGGAGCTGATGTGGTCTGAGGTTGAACATAGTTCGACTTGCCTTTTTCATCTCCTGGCTTTCCTCCTTTTCCATCATCATCCTTGCCTTTCTTGCCTTTCTTTCCTTTTCCTTTTCCTTTCTTCTGGAAGTATCCATACTCATCCATGTAGTACAGATCATCATAGGCCCAATAGCCTTCATTCCAGGTTTGATCATCGGCCCAATAGCCGTCATAGTTTTCATTCCATTCATCTTCTTGCCATTCATCTTCATAACCTTCTTCACTCACCATGTGAGCACGGCCCTTTCTTCTTCCTTTTCCTCGGCCTTTTCCTTTTCTTGATTTGAAGAACCTTCGTCCTCCTCTACCTTTTCCTTTTCCTTTTCTCTTTCCTTTACCTTTGCCTCGTCTGATGTATTTGCCTTGGAACCTTCTCTGATACCATGTGAAGTTGGCGTCATCATAAACCCAGAAAACATCTTCTAAGGCATCTAGGAATCCTTCTGCGCCGTCTTCTTCATCTTCGGCCCAATAGCCGTCGGTTCCTTCTAATTCACCTTCATCCAGTACAAGGAAAGATCTTCTCTGTGCCATGCCAGAGGGTTGCATCAATGGATTGTCAACTGCTGTTTTGGTAGTGCAAAACATTTCCAAAAACAGGTCACGTAGTTCTTGAATACTGTATCGATCGAGGGTTCGTCCACGATGTGTCATGATACTTGTGAGTGTGTTTCTCTGATCTTGACTCAGGTCAGCTAGACTTACAAAAATCAATGCTAGCAAATTTTCACCCAGTGGGAATGCTTGTCGCTGTACTTGTCTACGATCTTCCTGAAATTGTCTGAATGCCGCTAATGCCAGTTCATCTGACCAAGGAACAACTACATGAGGAGCTGCTCCTGAGGCTGCTGCTACTTCAGCTCGTTCTTGTTGATCTCGATCATGTTCTTGACGTCGTTGCTGAACAAACAGGATTGCTTCAGGACTAGTCACTGTTACTTCTGGAAGCAAATCCATCCAAGACTCAATAAGTCTATTGCCAGTAAGTTGAAATCTAGTCATCCACTTCTGAAGATCCATGGTTCCTCTGTTGAACTTCATGAACTGCATGAAACGGTATAAGAACACGTTCTGGGCACCTTTGATGAAATGAGGTCGTAGAAATCTTTTGAAATAAGCCACTCCTTCATAGGGATCCCTGAGTAATTCTCTATCCAATAGCCTCTTGTATTGTTGAGCATCTCCTTCCAGTCTGTTGCGCAATGCTGGACCACGTTTTTCTGGTTCTAACTCCGTAATGTCACACCAGTCATCAATTGCATCCTCAAAAGCAAAGAAGCTGGTTCGCCCATCATAGGCTGGAGCAACCTTTGTGGTCATCTGTTGCGTCATATGAATCTGTGTTTGCTGGGGTGCTCTTCTCATTGCATAAGAGTCATATTGGTTCCATTCATTTGCATCGACAATGTCGAAGTCATCATCATCATAGCCATGGCTTGCCATTTCTTGGGCTCTACCTGGAGCTCACCCTCAATGAGGGATCACTGCTCCGCTACCACTTGAAGAGGGGCCCTAGCGTCTACTTCAAGATCAGCTAAGGCGTCTTCGCCAATGACAGCACTTGTTTTACTCAGCCTGTTGCCGGTCCGTGCTTGTCTACAGGGTTACTCTATATACCTCTTTCTTGAGCCTTGAAGGCGCATATAAATGTGCTCAATACTCATGCATGTACCTATGTAGGTATTAGGTCGAAACAAAAACAAGGGCGCAGCGCCTCCCCCCAAAGCAGATTGGAAACACCTATTTTCACATACAAGGTGCTGGGTTGAATGTGATACTCAAGTTAAGGTGTATATACTACACGACATGCACCTTGGAAACATGTGGAATGTAGATTAAGGCACAACGATGCACAATAGTTTCATTTGATGTTATCATCGAGTTGGTTTAAGATCTCTTTATATAAGCTTTGATTCAGGGTTGGCTTGGGGTTTGAATATCATCCGGATGATAATGCAAACCTTTTAGATAGATAGATAGATAGATAGATAGAAAGATAGATAGATAGATAGATAGATAGATAGATATATAGATATATAGATATAAAGATATATACAGATATATTGATATATAGTGGTATATCGATATATAGATATAACTATAGATATAAATATATATATAGAAATATATGGAGATATATAGATATATATAGAGATACATAGAGATATATATATACATAGAGATATATAGAAATATATAGAGATATATAGATATATATATATATATAGATATAGGTATATAGATAAATATATAGATATATAGATATATAGATATATAGATACAGCCATAGATGTAGATATAGATACAGATATAGATAGATATAGATAGATATAAATAGATATATATATATATAGATATAGATAGATATAGATACGTAGATATAGATAGATATAGATAGATATAGATGGATATATATAGATATAGATAGATATAGATAGATACAGATAGATATAGATAGATATAGATAGATATAGATAGAAATAGATAGATACAGATAGATATAGATATAGATAGACATAGATAGATATAGATAGAATCAAGTAGATAGATAGTTTGATAGTTAGATAGATAGATAGATAGATAGGCAGATAGATAGTTAGATAGATAGATAGACAGATAGATAGATAGACAGATAGATAGACAGATAGATAGATAGATGGATGGATAGATAGATAGATGATACTCAAGGTGTATCTAATGCACAACATGCACCTGGTGAACATGCTTCACTGATAGATTGATCGATAGATGATAAATGAGCCATAGGAGCGAGGAGCTCTAGGAGCCAGGAGCCATAGAAGCCACCAGGAGCCACCAGGAGCCGCAAAAGCCACCAGGAGCCACAAGGAGCCGCAGAAGCCACCAGGAGCCACCAGGAGCCACCAGGAGCCACAGAAGCCACCAGGAGAGGAGGAAAAAAAAATAAAAAATCCCAAATTAAATTACCCTCCTTTAACATATTTTGACCAACTGTAGATCAAATCCACCAGCAATTGCCAAGATTCTTGGGGCATCACACTTCCCCCGAGAAATGTTCCCTAAAAGATAAGCATGTTGAGTAAGCCCTCCTTTCCAGGATAGCCAATCAGGTGCTTGAGGCTTGATTGGCTTGATGGCTGCCTGCACCACACAGACCACACAGAAGGGGCACTAACTCAACGAAAATCCTCTTCCCAAGTGTCCTATATAGACATAAACAATATACACGTACAATCATACATAAATAATACCTAGCTATCCGCATATGCACTTCTCATGTATCATTTACTCCTCACTGGATTTGACTTCATGACTACGATTTTTGGCATATCATATATCAATATATATCATATACCCTTGCACTAGACGCTTCACTGGATTTTGAAGCCCCCCTTGCTTTGGTCCAGTACCCTGCCGAGCAGCATTGATGTGGGCTGCGGGCAGCAAGGTTGCTATAGACATGAGGGAGGTTGCTACATACCTGGCAGCCGTGAAAAAACAGTAGTATCAACTCCAGATTTTTATTCACCTCTGGTCTGTTTACCCTCTAGTAATTTACCATAGCGAACTGGAAAATCACCATTTTCAATGGGAAAACTCACTATTTCTATGGCCATTTTCAATAGCTTTTTGTATGTTTACCAGAGGGTCATTTTCGCAATCTTTCGCCTTTGATCACTGGGGGCCCCTTTGATCGAACTCCAGCGAAGTCCATCCAATCCGAGGAAAAACATATCATTTCAGCATATTTCCACAAACAACAATAAAACACATTCAGAAGGCTCATGAGCACCTAAGCCGTAGGTAAACACAGGGAAAAAAACCGTCCTACACAAACATTTCCGTCCGAATCATCCACGTGCATCACTTTATCCTCCGGCTCACTTCACCCAATGAGTTTAGCTGAGAATTGAGAAAAACCATCCATCCATATTTGAAAAAACATTGCCAATCTTAGACACTCCGCAGTTGTTTTTTGGCATCCTTTCGCTGCTTAGTATATGACATACTTCCATTTGCAGCAAACAAACAAGTTCTACTTAATTATGTATATATATATATATATATCAATGTACAGTGTATAATATATATATATAATTATACTATGCACATGGTATAATATATATATATATATATAGACATATCCACTAACATGGCCATCACCCTCACAAACGTCCCCCGTTTTTCAAAGCTCGACTTTTGAAACGGCGGATCTCCCGGCTGAGACACCACAGGTCTAAGGAGTTGGGCGTGATGAGTTGCGGCCGAAAGTTGATGACCAAACTGACGGACATCAAACAAATCAGCTGCAGATCAAACCTTCCGCGCCATGGAGGATGATCAAAATGAATCCCAAAGTCCGCCATGGAGTCTATTGTGTCATATTGTGTCCTCATTGTTTTTTTGATATTCATTGGGGGTCAAGCAACATTTTCAGACACATGTAAGCTGTCTAGTCACTCACACTGGAATTGCCAGCTCGGTTTGGCAGAAACACTTTTTCAAATGTGTCCATTTCTTCCAGACAGAAACAGGATGATCTCGGAAAGTCGCTGCACTCGAAATGGCTTTTTGACGAAATAGCCTCTGGTTCTGACTAACAGTTCGCCATGGTATAGATGGCCCATATTTATAGGTGGTTTACCGTTCTTAAAAATGGTGGATCTTTCCATGGCAAACTGTGAACGTCATAAGCAGATGCGACAGGTCGACAGCAGCTACATTCCCGACCAGGTCCAGACATGCCACGCCAAGCCGCTCTGGACGAATTGGATTGCGTCCAGATACCAGGAGAAGCTGTTGCGTCAGCAAACGTAAAAAGGATATCGTGCACACAGCAGTCCACAAGAGACGTGTCCTATTGGCAATGCCAAGTTGACTATTGGCAATGCCAAGCGTGGTGAAAAGAAGTGAACATGCAAGGGTCACCGTCTTCACCAACCAACCATCGGAAAAAAAAAAAAACATCATCATTCACCAACCTGCAACGAAATAATTCCATGTTGATGCCCAACAAAACACATCCCTTGCAGCAAAAAACAACCCCCTAACCCTTGGATCTTAAAATTGGACAGTAAATAGCCATCCCCTTTGATGGGAAAATAACCAATGTCTGGAAGAGCGTTTAAGAACAATAATGTCCTTTTGGTAAAAATAGAGGGGCCGGTTTGGTATACCATCTATCATCAAACAAACCTGTTGTTAAAGGGGTAAACAACCCCCTCTATTAATCAACCAACCCAATGGGAAAAGGACATCTATGGTGAAGAACGTCAACAGCGGATTAATGGACACTGACTAGAAATTGTGGGGTTGCACCAAAAAAGATCCAACAAGTGATGCTAATTGATATCAATTTGATGCCCCCTCTGAATAAACTGTGGGTCAATTAATCCTGGGTCAACATTATCATTATGGCAAGTATGGCATTTCTTAAGATTGCGGGACCCAAAAAAGCCATGGTTTTCCTCTTAAACATCACCATGTGCGATATGTTTTTGACGATCTTTGGGTCCCCAATTAAGAAAAACAACTGCACTCGCAACCCCCAGTCATGCCGATAGATGTTGGAAATGCAACTGACCTGGAATCTAGAGAAAAACATGATCTTAATGATGTGTTTATCGTCTCACTTTATAGTCTCACATACAGCAACACTCCCCATCCTTGGGTTTCCACTTTTCGGCATCTTTTTGGGGAAAAACAAATCGCGTTCCCAGCGTCAGTTGGCAGCGCGTCTGATCCACTGCCTTCTCAGTTGCATCCTGGGGCCCGCGGGTGGGCTGAGTCAACCAATGGTCAGGTGGTACACCTAATCAACCAAGAAAAACACATCTCCAAAGGAGGTTTACAATGATTGGGCAATAGTACCACATACCACTAATAAATAGTATTATCATTATAAATATAACCCAATTGTATTGGATAATATAATGATAACTATTGTATGGGCAAGACTGTAGCGAGACCATCCAGGGTATGCTCCGTTCGCAATAGGATGATTTGTTTTCAATGACAGTAATGGTTGGTGTTCAAAGGACGGTTTATGAAATCGGGTTGACAACATTACCATAAATGGCCGGTAAAAGATACAACAAAATTCATTTAACCATTCATCGTCCTAGTAGTCGTTCATGGCAATTTTTTGTGAATCCCACATGACCTTATGTCGATTTTTTTCCAGGGATTTCCCACAGTCTTCCCCGTCAGAGACACCTCCTCAGTCCACCAGCTTTGCCTCAGATCTTGCCAGAGCTTCTGCAGCTTCTCATAGCAACGTTGTGGGAAGAGACGCTGGGTGTAGGCGAGCATGATGAGCCGCAAGATAAGCCTGGAACCCAACGCGATGGGGGAAGGACTTGCGGGTGACCAACTCTCGATACAAACGCGATTGCTACAATATATCAATATATCAATATATATATATAATTATATATATTATACTTTAACATGTTTAGGATCACAAAAGAATATATCACAGAACCCTGTGATGAAGCGTATGTTCAACTTGAAGGCTGTGTAAAATTGGGCAATGATCCCTAAAAATCCCGACTGATTCACTTGCAGAACTTGGGATTAACCAGCAAAAAAGACCAACCTGATCCTGCAATTTGAGAGTTTCATGAACCTTAAATCAAACGAATTGATATTTGGATATATTTGGGTTTTTGAACATTTTGAAGCTCATTTTTGTCCAAACTGCCCATTTTTAGTCAGCTGGCTTAATCTTCTGCCTAGGAGCAAAGCTTCCAAAATCAAGGTGCTCACCAAAAACGCGGAGGTCTCCATTGACTTCATTCGTCACCACTGCGCTTTGTGATTCCGCGCGGTGAGTGTTTTCGCGGGAGTTGATCAAATGAGGGCTGCAGCTTTGATCAATGGCTGCAGGCGGGGTCGAAAGGTCGAAATGGATGGGATTTCACAGGATACACAAAACAGGACTTAAAAAATGGGTGTTTCCTATCAGGATTTCAAGGGCGAAATATGATGCCAATAGAGCCAGAAAATTCGTGAAAATTCTTGGCTGCATGGTACTCAGTATGTACCTGTATTGCACATAATTCACATAATATCTATAGTTTGAATTTGTTCACATTGAATTTCAGGCAACCTTCAGTTTCCAGTGTGTTTCGGGCGAGCATGACGTCATAGGTGTACCGCCAATACTGAAACCACCCGGCTACTTAATCCGAGAAATCTACACATATTATCATATGGCATATAACTCTAAGCATCTAATACATGCAACTGCATTTGTAATATGTAACACACACACACATATATATATATAACACAAATACATATTAATATACATATATACATATATACATATGCACATATATGTATATATATATATATACATGCACACAATATACTCTATAGATATCTACAGGTTCTACGCATGTGAATTTGTTTACACTACGTACATGGTCCCAAGGCTCCTTGCCTCTCCGGGGAAAGCTGGATGGTACCTGAGCCGCGGGAAGCCCGGAGACACGACTGGTGACACGGATGTGACACGGTTCCGGGGATGAAATCGTATATGACTGGGATGGAAAGGTCTGAAAAAAATATCTGGAAAATCTGGGGGATGGGAAGAGTTCTTCTCATTTGGGGAGCTTTAGCAGCTAAGCTATGGCTCAGTGATTTATTGATAGGCTTTGGGACGGTCTCAGAAACGGTGGGATTTATTTTGTCATCGATGAAAGGCGGCGATCTATCTTTGAGGACCTACGTTGGGTCCAACAAAATCATCCAACAATATCATGACCCTACACAAAAAACATGTCAAACAAACAACACGTTTTAGTTCGGCATCATGCGGTTGTCCTCCGCATCACCTATCATCAGCTTCACCACTGATCCAGCTTGCTGGCCATAAGTTCATACCAGAAATGGACAAGAGGAGTACACCGGTCACACATGCTCTCGTGATCTTTTACTTATGTAGGCCGAAGGTTTCTGATTTCACCATCGGCATTCTTGCGGATGCACTTACACTTCAACTCCCGCATGCAGTAGTTGGAAAAGTTGGAAATTGCCGACTTAGATAAATTGTTCCAAAAGTGTGCTGTGCAAAGGCCAAAACAATTATATTATGTTTGAGTGTTCCCATGTCTTGGTTGGAAAGAAAAACATCATAAATCATAAGACTGCAATACCTCATGTTGAAAAAAACGTCTCCCTTGTTTGCCCAGGATTCATTGTGCCAACTGGGAGTCCTATGGAAATTTTCACCTGGTCAATAGTTCCCTCAATGCAGGTCATCCCATACGCAAGAGGGCTTTCTCTAATCAGGTGTCTAATCATGTACCCTCTGGTAATCAAACATGGCGTCAGGGAAAATCCCATGGAAAATCCCAGATTTCTCGATGATTCCCCCAAGTTCTTCCAAGCCAAAAAAAGGGGATTTCCATGGATTTCCCACGAGCCCGGCAGCTTCTCAAGGTTCAGCATCGATACATGTACAAAGATCCCTTGGGGAAGTCCACCGTGCTGTTGTTCTTTCGAGCCTTGGCGTTTTAGCGAAGGCTCCGGGGGGAACATCAAGGAACATCTTGGAACATCTTGGAACATCATATCCCATAGGATCCATGGCGCTGGTATATATGCTAACATAAAGGGGGTATATTGATGGGATCCATGTTACCATATATAGCAGCACCATGGATCCGTCATGGGTATTGATGTTCAGTGGGGATGATTTAATATAGATGGTGATACCCTCTGGTAAACTAACATAACTATGGAAAATGGTCATTTATAGTGGATTTTCCGATTAAAAATTGTGATTTTCCGTAGTTATGTTAGTTTACTAGAGGGTAATTCAGCAAACTAAAATTATGAACATTTGTGGCAAAATCAAAGTGAAATCTGCATGACCGCAATGTATGGTTCATGCATTTTTGGGCCCATGTGCGCCACCATGCTAGAGAAAAATAATGGGGCAATATATATATATATATATAACACTTAATATACACCTTTCCATTTGCCCACATTGGCCACAGGTTTCCCGATTCTTGGGAGAATGTCTCCTTGCGAGAAAAAAACTGACAAACGGGATGTTCAACCTTTTCCATGCCAGCTCATATAGCAACTATAGTGGTGTTCAAACACAATCAAAACCATACTTATGTGTTTTGCATCAGCTTTCACATATGTATGCGTATATATATATATGTGTGTGTATGTAAATATGTATATATATATGTGTGTGTGTACATAGTGTGCAAATAAAAAAAATACACATACACACATATGTATACATATATATATGTATACATATACATATACATATATATGTATGTGTATTACCTAAAATGGAGGTACCTCCAAATTATCCAAGTCATTAGACCATTTTAGTATTGAAACCTATGGTGACTTGGGGATGATCTACCATTCAAAAAACAATTCCATATTGAAAAGACTAGGTCATCTATGGTTTATGGTAGATATCTATAGTTACTGGGGTTTATAAACCAACTTATGACTGGGGGGGCCACCACCTTGTATAGTTTTTGATATGTCTGGACAAATGACCAGAAGGCCCCGCAACCGACCCACCGCAACCGACCCACAGCCGAGAAGCAATCAAGAAGTCCTTTGAAAAATCCAGCGTCACTTCGGCCAACCTGAAGAGCATTGGAGAACGGTAAACCTGGGAAAAAGCCAGCGAGACAATTTCCAACTTCATAGGAGGGACATTTTATACATTCTATATGTACATATAATGTATGTATATATAATATAATTATATATATATATTGGTATAATTATATATGTATATATATATGTATATATTGTGATTGAAACTTAAGGCTTGAAGATTTGCTATATTGGGAACATAGAGAATTATAGAGACAAATCATCCCCAAGAGACGGTGAGTCAGGACATTCGTAAGAGGTGGTGTCCCCACCCTGTGATTATGACTAACATAGCTATGGAAGCTATGGCCCATTTACAAATGATTTTCCATAGCTATGTGAAAAAATATGTATAATTAGATATATTTATATAGATGGATATATCCACCATTTAAAACAAAATCAAACTGTGGAATATATTATAATATATCTATTGAAATTTCGAAAAAAAAAACTATGTGGAAATTAGTTACACATAAACTATGGATATATCCACCATAAACAGGCATAAACCCGATTCTTTTTTACCAAATGCCTTTCTTTCCGCAATTCCAGTTGTAAGTTAGTTTTGAAACACCATCATCTATATTATATATATATATAGTTAACCATAATTAACCATAGTTGATTTATTCACCATTACAAATCACAAAGTTGGTTTATTCACCATTAGACAGGCCTGACATTTATCTACAGTTGTGTCCCTTCACAGTTAAAAATGGGATTATAGTGATAAATAACCTTCATAGAAGTTATACCCTCTGGTAAACTAACATAGCCATGGAAAATCACCATTTTTAATGGGAAAATCCACTATAAATGGCCATTTTCAATAGCTATGTTAAATTACCAGAGGGTAATCCCATTTATAACTGTTAAGGGACGAAACTGTACCATATCCTTCGCGATTCCAGGGACACTTCGTCCGAGGCCAACATGTGTCGTTCCAGATCTGCACTGTGAGCCTCCCACTGGGCCGTCGTCGCAGGCTGGAGAATACCCTGAAAACATGGAGGTGTTAAGATGTTTTAATCATGTTTCAATGGGAAAATATGGGCAATATCGAGAAATTGGAACATCATTGTTCCATTGTCACGTGTTCTTTGTTCGCCGGGTGAATTGCCGAAAACCAACGCTTGGTCTGTAGGCCACTGTGCAAGTGTTTGCTCAAATTCGCGGCTTTAAATCTTTGTCAAGCCCACATGTCGCACACGAAATGACAACATTCGAAAAACAAATCAACTTTACTGCTGGAATTCCAATGAAAACCCTTGTCTATTGCATCAATATCCCCTGTTCTGCAGCTGCAAATATCTGCATATTGCCTGGGCTGCTTGCAGGGAATCATCACCTGGCTGAATGTGCTGTCGCATGTGTGGAAGATGGTCTATACATGATGCAGCATATGGATATGGAAATGTGTTCGGTGCGTATACATATATGACTATGTGTACACATGCAGATGCATTGCATGTATGTGTCTGTCTGTCTTTGAACATGGTATAAACGCACCCAAACAGCACTTGAACGTGCAAAATCAACACTACAATGTTACAGGGAAGATGTTTATTTCCCAAATTTACGACCTTCCAGTAAAGCTTCCTCCGCCGAGACACGTTCTTGAAGACCAATCTCCAATTCAACGTGGCCTGACGGACAAAGACAACGTCGGGCAACGTTCGGTGATCAAACGTCACGAGCCAGGATAGGATATGCCCAATGAAATAATTATGTGAATGTCTCTGGAAATGGGGTATACCGGTATACCGAAAAAATGAACAAACGTTGTTATTTAATAGGAATATATATGGAAATACTATGATAACCCAATGGAATCCCAATGGATTTAGGGGTACGTACCTATTTTCAAACAAGCCCATAAAGAAATATAGACGTGATAGAAAACTGCCAGCGACTATGTAGCTGAGGCCCCACATGACGCCACATGTCCTCAATTTGTGCCGCGCGACGGTGCCATCGTCACAGCCGAAGTGCGTGTCAGTTTCTTCGAACAGATCTTTACCTGGGCCCAGGATTCCCAGTATTCTCGGGGGTAGCTGGTGATGCGCCCGTGAAGATCAACAGTGAAAGCATGTGAAAGCCATATATAGACTATCTGGTTGGTGGTTTTAACACGTTTTAACCATCTTGAAAAATATTAGTCATTGGGAAGGATTATCCCATACATTATGGAAAATAAAAAATGTTTGAAACCACCAACCAGCTATAGACAATGCATGACCCGAACATGAACCAACTCGACGGAATGTTTCCAGCTGCCTTCCAGGTCTGAGGCGACGATCTGGACAGTCTGGACCCAGGGCTAGCGCTCCACAGTTCAGCACCCGAAATTCCCCAGGTTTTGTGTTCCCAAAACGATCAATGTGCATTTCAGTCATGGGTCTACCATACGTCTTGGTGCCCTTGATCCTTTTTCTCCATTACTATTAATAATTTTAGTTTTTGGCACATTCTACCTTGATGAAAATAAACTTCAGCAAAACAACAATGGCAAAATCCCAAAATTGCACACAACAATCCACCACACAAATTTCACCAAAATCCCATATAGGTATAAATCCATATAAACTCCAATCTTTCCAGAAACACTTGATAAATAGCTACCAATCCCAATTGGGAGGTTTATTGCGGTGCTATAGCAAACCATCCCCAATTAAGGTTTATTATTGGGTATACCGGGTAAACCACTATTTGGGATGTAACATGAGTCCCGGTCATGGTTCGTTATGGGATGCTTTAGGGCTTAGGTGCTCCCATTGGCGCTAAGGGTTTACCACCAGTGACTGGGAAACTCCAGTGGCTCCCCATGGCCATTTCAGGTACCTAAACCTCACCATTGGTCAATGGCCATTTCAGGTACCTAAATTGGAGGTAGCTACCATACATAAAACCTATGTAAGTGCTGGCCTGGTAATTGTTTAGATTTGTCCAAGAATGGAAGGTCTACACCCCCCATTCGGGGGTTGCTCCCAACCCAAGCGTGGCTATCATTTCCCTATATCTAATGCATTGGAGCAATCCTGAGGATAAAAAGTTCATAAAATCATAAATCACATCAAAAAAGATCATGTAAATATAAAACTTGTATATTCCAACTGACCTAAAAATTAAGAATCATTTGTTGGCCCATTTTTGGCTTTACCCTCTGGTAAACTACCATAACTATGGAAAATCCCATTTTTTCGTAAATCAAGAAACTTTCTATGGGCCATGTTCAGTACCAACCTCCTAAATTACCAGGGAGTATTTATATATATATACAATATATATATAAATATATTTACCTATATATAATTATATATATAATTATATATATATATATATATGTGTTTTTCCAGTTTGCTATGTTAGCTTCATAACTATGGGAAATGACCATTTTAAATGGATAAATCAACTATTCCAATGGCCATTTTCCATCGCTTCATCCTCGAGGTCATCGAGGCCGAGGCACCGTCGTCCAGGGTCATCTTCCCACTGGCCTTCACCGAAGGCTCGGAGTTGCCCTCGGGCGGCTGGATATCCACCACCTGGGGCGAAAGATGGAAGGGCTTGGGAACGGCTTGGGACAAAATGGTGGGGGAAAATGCTGGGGGAAATTGGTTGGGGTGTTTTTTTTTTGATTGATCAAGATTGATCAAAATGATCATGTGAGTTGTTCGTAGCTGTTTCTTATCATGTACTACATTATTTATCTATATGATATTGATGATGTGCAACGGGGACTAAAACCTCCGAATGATGATTGGTTCAGGTTACTCATGATTGCCCCATGTAACTATTGATGGTCTCCACCATCTAGCCTAGTGAAACTAACTTATCCATCATAAATATTAATATTATCCATAAATCACATTATCAATCCCGTTTGTTTGTCAAATCTTGATTTGTGCCGGTTAAATTCCGTGGCCTGGTCATCTTACATGTTCTTAAGGCCTCTCATTTCATGCAATTTCCAGTTGACTGGGAGTTGGATCCCAATTTTCCCAAGTTAGATCTCAATTTTTCCTCAGATCCCAATTTTCCCACATGTTTTTATAAGTTGCAAGCCTTTCCCGCAGTCCAGTCCGGCCCCACCTTAAAAACGGCCACCCTGAGCTCGAAGGGCAAGGGATCTTTGGAGGGCAACGACTCGATGGGCCGCTCCTGACAGGACGATTTCACGTGGGAATGGGAATCATATAATGTAAGAATATGTATAATTAATATACACATATGATATATATATATATAGATGTAAGTATATATATATATATACATATGTGTGTGTGTAAATATATATATATAATTTATATATATATATATATATAGTAATTATTATCAACGAATTACCTTTTCAATTGAGTCTTCGGATTTTAAAATATATGAACATGTACTTCAATGTGCTTTAGACTACCTTCGGGAAGGTTTTCCTTGGTCCGCCCGGCCATTTAAGCATACGGAATCCAATTCATTTAGACATACGGTAACTACATTTATATGTCAATATAAATATACGAACTGGTGTTTTATACTAGTTACTACCTCCTGGGCCTCGCGGTCTGGCCCGCCCTCCACAGGGGTGGATCCTTGGTACACCAAACTTGACCCCTTAGTGAAGGATTTTAAAGGGGCGTTAATATGGTCTCTATGTGATTCGATCTACGGTTTCAGCTAGGTATACCTGGGAATATGATGGAATATGCAGCATGCTGGTCGTATCGACTCTGTTATGCCATGCCCAAAAGAATCAAAGAGGCACCCCAGTGCCTGCGCAAAAGCATCCGGTGCAGGGCATGCCTTGGTCTCCGCAGTTGTGGTTAAGGCGGATAGCGCTTCACCCCAATCATAAGCCCAATTTCATCGGGAATGGGTCACAGTATGTGTCACATCGGTGCCATTCCATGGCCAAAAAGGCCAGCAAAATACGCGATGACCCAGAAATAGCGGGACCATAGTGGGACCATCACAATGGTGAGCCCCCAAAGGAGCTCAGAAACTGAGGCTGGGACCTGCCGTTGGTTGTACATGATGTCCAACCACAAGCGGATATGTCCTTTGCTGAAGACCGAACCCGATGTCCTGAGAACAAGCCGTGGGGGATCCCTGGGGGTAAGCGTTCTTCACATGGAAAAATATGGAGCTTTCAATGGGAAATCCTGGGAAAATGCGGGGAACATATTGGAAAGATGTGGAAAACCTGTGGGGAAACCTGTTCGGAAAATGATCTACAAATGGTGCGTGCAGCCTCTTTCTCTGTTTGTTTCTGTTTTGGACTGGATGATTTTGGTACTTCTGTAAATACCATTGACCAAGTACAATTTTCTTTTCCACAACCCGCAATTAGAAGAAAAAAAACGTTTTCCATCCCCAAATTCACACGCGGATTTCTCAAGACCTGGGTGCATTTTCTTCCCCATTAATATCATGATCAAGAATATGTATGATACTTGGGGTTACCACATTCTTTTGCAAACCAAAGCCAGTTGGGCCGTATGGACCCATTGCAGCAACCCCAAAAACATAGAAGAGAAACAACTACAAAAAAGTATACATATGTATATAGTAACTATATACTAACTATACCATAATTTGCTTTTCTAGATGTTGGAACGGGCTACGATTTTTATCGGTCTATCCATGTCCCAAATTTTATGGGTCTAAAATCATGAGACCTCCCAAGAACCAAGTGAGTAGCAATAAATTATATACCCTCTCGTTATTTGACAGTTCGCCATGGGAAATGGCCCATAGAAATAGATGGTTTACCGTTCTTAAAACTGGTTGATCTTTCCATGGCAAACTGTTAGTCATAACCAGATGGTAACATGACTTGGAGTTCGCTTCCTCAATTTGTAGACACACCCATATCCGTTATGCAGCTATGCATTGGGTAATTCCTGACTGTCGATGGTAGAGTCAGGATGTTCGACACAACAAATTCATTTTTAGATTTCTATGATCTACTGATATAGCCCTCAAATATGCCCGTGGTACTTCACATTCTCCATTCCAAATTTTACTATGGGACCAAATTTGTTGCTTAGATCCAAAGTTGGGTATGTTCTGCTGTTGCACAAAAGACTCATTTTAGTTGGTCCATCCAAAACTTTCATTGATAACCCCAGAACCCTGTGGTTAGTCACACTATTTCATATTGACGTACCACAACTGTGGGGCCAGCCTATGAAAATCCATCAATTTTAAGACATCCTTGACTCATATCCATTATTCATTTGATGTGTTGAACCCATGATGTACCCATACAAGATGGTGCCGCCCAGTTAGTTTCGTGTGTTTCTGATTGCAAATATGCGCAATGCACTATGGTTAAAAACAATATAAATAACACTAATGATGTTTAAAACAAAATGTATCGCCAAGTTGGTTACATCAAACATTATTATTGGTTAATAATGCTAACCAACTAGGGTCTAATAGCAAATAGGTGATAATAACCATAAAACCCTAGTTGGCCTGGCGATGTTCATCAACTGAACCAACGCAAATCATTCAGATATGCATCGTTTTTGCCGGTTCCATCCTTCAATCTTTTGTGCTTAATACAATACTTTCACAGTTTCCTATGTACCCCCGGGGCCATTTGACATAGCTATTTAAAATTGTTATTATAGTTGATTTATCTTAAAAAAGAAACAGAGATTTTCCATAGCTATCTTAGATTACCAGAGGGTATAAAAAATTCACCATTCTGACTAGCTAAATCATCCCATAGCAAACTGCGAACAATGATCAGAGATTATCAGAGTGTAACCCCCAATGATCAACTGCGGCACTACCAGATATGAAGTTCAAAATATGATGAAATATGAAGCACAAATCATCATTTTTTTAAATACCATCCAGAAAAAACACTTCTCCAAAATCTTTGCGGGGGTTACCACAAAAACAGGCAAGGGGAGATCCCGTTCTACCTGAGCATCTAAACATGAACATTATCAGCAAAAAACGTGGCTCACTAAGGGAAATCACCTAATGATGAGTGATGATGACTGGTGATACATGGATATATACATGTGGTCCAATGAGGAAAATCAACGAAACACATGCATAATATAATATATATATATTTGATTATACACATTATATATATATATATGATGATGATACCATATGATCATAATAATAATAAAAATAAATATAATAATAATAAAAATGATAATAATAATAATAAATATATATACTGCAAGGGTCCATCATATTGAAGCTTCAAGTGTGACCGTTTTTGGGGCTCTCAAACCAGCCCCATTTATGTTGCAGTCCCAAGACAGCATCAGACTTGTGGACACATGCTTTGACGCAGCCTTTTTCAGACTCACAGATATTGCTGCTTCGCAGTTCAGTCAACATGTCTGACACAGCAAATGATGAAAGCGCAGCTGGCAATGGTGCAGACGGAAGACCTGATGGCGCGGCTGTGCCAGTGCGCGCAGCTGTGCCAGATCAGCTGCCCGGCTTGCGTGCTGAAAGGCAGGTTTTAAAGCAGCAGCTGAAGGCCGCCACAAAGCAGATATGGAATGAGGTCAGGTGTGTGCATGTGTGCAAAAATCAGCCGTAGGTGTGACAAAGGCACCCGGTTTCATTCATATGTTCGAAATTTTGCAATCAATCTTGGATTCCAGCTTGCCACGAATTGGTCCCAGTTTTCGTGGTGGGCGCAGTATTTGGTAAGCCCTTAAATGCATTTCTCGTGGCAGGCGCAATATTTGGTGAACCTCTGGTCCCACTTCTCGTGGTGGGCGCAGTATTTGGTAAACCCCTAATTCCATTTTTCGTGGCAGGCGCAATAGTTGGTGAACCTCTGGTCCCAGTTTTCGTGGCAGGCGCAGTACTTGGTAAGCCCCTAATTGCTCTTTTCGTGGCAGGCGCAGTATTTGGTGAGCCTCTGGTCCGAGTTTTCGTGGCAGGCGTGGGACAAACGCCGAAATCGTAACGTTGGATTCCAACGTTATGCTTGTTTTTCGTGGCAGGTGTGGGACAAAAGTCGAAATCGTAACGTTGGATGCGGCCAAAAAAAGAATATTATATTCTATTTCAAACCGCGTTCCAACGTTATGATTTCCACTTTTTTGTGAAACTGTCGCCAAAAACGGATCGTAACGTTGGATTCCAACGTTATGATTTTGGTTTTCGTGCGGGGAGTGCTTCGATTTTGGCCGCGCATGCTTTCCTAACAAATCGTAAATCGCATTGGAACTGGCCATCTCATGCTGATTCCAGGATGCTTCAGATTGTCATTTTTCGTGGCAGGCGCAGTATTTGGTGAACCTGTGTTCCCATTTCCTGCAAGAGTTGTAGTACAAAGAAGTGCATTTCTGCAAGCTTTGTAGTACAAAGTCGTACTGGAAAGTACGTTCCTGCAAGCTTTGTAGTACAAAGTAGTACTGGGGAGTACGTTTCCGCAAGCTTTGTAGTACAGAGTAGTACTGGGAAGTACGTTCCTGCAAGCTTTGTAGTACAAAGTAGTACTGGGAAGTACGTTTCTGCAAGCTTTGAAGTAGTTCTGGCCAGTGGAATATTTCACGCCCAACCACAAGGGTGCCATCGACAGACGCACAGTCTGGGTGGAGTGTTCGAAGAAGGTGTTCAAGTCCGAGGACCGGCTGGCCCATGCAAAACGGAACGTTACAAACGGCCATCCAAAGGAGGCCAACAGCATAATCATGTTCCTATTTTGTTTTGAATGCGATGTTATCAAACATGGTTGAATTCATAAGAGATGTCTGCACTAGTGCTTTGGGACCTTCTGCCTCCTTTGGATGGGCGTTTCCAATGTTATGTTTTCAGTGGGTGTGAGTGGCGCCAGGATTGTTCTTCGAGCTTTTCTGGTGAAAATTTTCCTGCTTCAGCCGAATCTGGCACAGCTGCTGCGAGCAAGAACACTCCTGATGGAAATCTTCCTGCTTCTGTCGCAACTGGCGCAGCTGCATTGCAGGAACCTCTCATGCCATGGCCTTGTGATGAGGAGATTGAGGCAATGATGGACGATGCCTTTGAATTTTCGTGCGACTTTTGCGGGCCCAAAAAAGAGAGCTTCATGTGTTGTGCAGAGAAGCACCCATTACCTTGAAGATGCATCCCTTTTCGGTTTTTGTGATTGGCCCAGCAGGAGTTGTAACCCCATGTTGACTAAGCGCATTGTCCGGGCAATCCAATATATGCTCCATCTTTGCTCGCCGCAGGATGCTGCTGAAGGCGTGATGGCATTGCTGGTCAGTCAATTTGCGCGGGCCAAAAAATGAGACCGCTTTCTGTGCTGCTTTGAGGCTTCCGAAGTATGGCCCCCAGGTGTGTGTGTGTGTGTGTCGCTCGCCGCTTTTTTCAATTTGTCTTGGCAGGAGTTTTTGGAGACCCAGCCATGCTTGCCGTAATATCTGGGCGGGAGAGTGTGACCACTAATCTGGCCAAACTTTGTTTATTTCAGTCAATAAGGTGTTCACAACGCATGGCTCCCTATAGGGTCAACTGTTTTGGTCGTAAAAAGAAGATGTAGCTGAAAACAAAGCGTGATTCTTTATTCTGCTTCGCTGACATTTGGCTATACCCTCTTAGCGAAGGGGTTTCTGTCATGTCCATGAGAGGCTGTGTCAAGAATGCGCAGGAAAACACACAGGCATGATCTATATGATGTTAACTTGTACTTTCTAGTACTTTCATGTCTACGCAAGTGTGGCAAGGGTATATATACACATGGAAACTTGCTAAAAGCTGTGGCCGGGCGCGGCCAAAGGCACGCCATGGCAGCAGCGGAGCGTTGTGAGGCATTGAAAGCTTCTTTGCATGAAAACAGGTTGCGCTTGCGGAGTTGTGAGCAAGCTGCACGGCGCAACAAGCTGCGCTTGGAACATGGGGGGTTATCAGTGACAGCTGTCAAAAGGGTGCTGGCAGTGTACATGCTTTCTTCGTGGGATCTGGCGACGGCGGAGGAAGCTGCAAGACATTTGTCAACGTTACCCCCAGCAGATGTGAATTTCCCCAGCAAGACTTTGGTTCGGCAACTGTTTTTGGATATTGATTTAGACGATCTTCTTTGCATGCATGACGAAGCCAACATGGCTTGGGCAAGGGCTCTGAAATTTGCTCGCGTCTTCCTTGGGGAACAGGAGGTTTGGCGTTGGGTTCATGCACAGAACCTTGCCAACGGCGTGGCTCCGTGTGCAGCAGAAGTGTTTAGCCGCTTTGAATCCTGCAATGCCTGTAAGATTCCAAGTGGGCGGCCTCATAAACGAACTGTGAACAAATGGGTTGCTCGATGGCGTGCGCGTTGGGCCGTGCGAAGGGGGCGCTTGCGGCCGATTGGCCAAATCAATCCGGAAGACTTGCAGCAGAAGGCCTGCAAACTTTGGATGTCAGGTCCTATTTTTGGGACCGCCTGGGAGTCCCGAATTGTGGTCTTGTTTAAGTGGGGGAAGCAATTTTGGGGCCCAAAAACGGTCTCAATTTTGGGGCCGCATTTGGAAACAATTTTGTCTTTTTTTGGTGAGACTTCATTGCAAGATTTTTCCGACCATGGCAGATCAATGTCTTCTGGAAGAGCATTTCCTACATCACCGAGAAGGTCACTGGCAAGATTCTTTGAATCAACTTTGACGAGACTTCAATAGCATATTCCCCACTACCGGGGGCGGGGTGCATAGTAAACGCGAAGCATTGGAAGAAACATCCAGAAGTGCCACACATGAAGATCAGAAAGGATCGCCGGCGCGGCGCTTACACATACTGCGCTCTGATTTGCAGTGATCCAAGTATACAACCATTTCTTCCTCATTTCTTGATTAGCTCCCAGACGAGGCTACCGAGCTCTTTGCTGAGAGCGTACAACGCTTTGCCTCGTACGCAGCTGCAAATCATTCGTGGCAAGTCATCTTGGGTCACAGCTGATTGCATGCTGGTGATTTTACAAGCCGTGAAAAAGGCGCTCATGCCTTTTCTCGCAGGCATCTCACCAGTCATAATGTGGGACTGCGCGTGCCCACACCTGCCGAAAACTATTTTAGTAGCGGCAAAGCGACATGGATTTCAATTACTATATATACCAGCATCTACAACAAGTTTACTCCAGCCTTTGGACGTCTTCGCCTTTTGGCGCTTCAAGTCGTACTTGCGTCAGAAGTACCGAGAACAGAGGCAGACAGCTGCAGAGGGGCAGCCAGAACCATTGGCTTGGCTTTGGCAAATTTCGCAAGCACACAAAGAGTGCTTTGCATGCCACAACTGGTCGGGGGCCTTCAAGTCTGTCGGGACCTCCCGGGATGTTTCACATTTACACTCAGCCCTGGCTTCTTTTATGGCACACCCTGTTTCTTTTCCTGCGGCGGTGAAACCGACCAAGGAGGAAGTGCAAATGATCTGGCCGAAGCGGCGAAAGATGGGCTACGCTTATGCGAGCCTGCTTTAAAAAGCTGCTGTTCAGCAGATTGTACTTAGTGAAGCAGGGCATGAAAAGCTGAGATGCGAGTTTGCGTGAGCAAGCTGGGGCACTGTTGTGTGTGTGCGTTAATTGCCGCACTGCAAGGGTCCATCATATTGAAGCTTCAAGTGTGACCGTTTTTGGGGCTCTCAAACCAGCCCCATTTATGTTGCAGTCCCAAGACAGCATCAGACTTGTGGACACATGCTTTGACGCAGCCTTTTTCAGACTCACAGATATTGCTGCTTCGCAGTTCAGTCAACATGTCTGACACAGCAAATGATGAAAGCGCAGCTGGCAATGGTGCAGACGGAAGACCTGATGGCGCGGCTGTGCCAGTGCGCGCAGCTGTGCCAGATCAGCTGCCCGGCTTGCGTGCTGAAAGGCAGGTTTTAAAGCAGCAGCTGAAGGCCGCCACAAAGCAGATATGGAATGAGGTCAGGTGTGTGCATGTGTGCAAAAATCAGCCGTAGGTGTGACAAAGGCACCCGGTTTCATTCATATGTTCGAAATTTTGCAATCAATCTTGGATTCCAGCTTGCCACGAATTGGTCCCAGTTTTCGTGGTGGGCGCAGTATTTGGTAAGCCCTTAAATGCATTTCTCGTGGCAGGCGCAGTATTTGGTGAACCTCTGGTCCCACTTCTCGTGGTGGGCGCAGTATTTGGTAAACCCCTAATTCCATTTTTCGTGGCAGGCGCAATAGTTGGTGAACCTCTGGTCCCAGTTTTCGTGGCAGGCGCAGTACTTGGTAAGCCCCTAATTGCTCTTTTCGTGGCAGGCGCAGTATTTGGTGAGCCTCTGGTCCGAGTTTTCGTGGCAGGCGTGGGACAAACGCCGAAATCGTAACGTTGGATTCCAACGTTATGCTTGTTTTTCGTGGCAGGTGTGGGACAAAAGTCGAAATCGTAACGTTGGATGCGGCCAAAAAAAGAATATTATATTCTATTTCAAACCGCGTTCCAACGTTATGATTTCCACTTTTTTGTGAAACTGTCGCCAAAAACGGATCGTAACGTTGGATTCCAACGTTATGATTTTGGTTTTCGTGCGGGGAGTGCTTCGATTTTGGCCGCGCATGCTTTCCTAGCAAATCGTAAATCGCATTGGAACTGGCCATCTCATGCTGATTCCAGGATGCTTCAGATTGTCATTTTTCGTGGCAGGCGCAGTATTTGGTGAACCTGTGTTCCCATTTCCTGCAAGAGTTGTAGTACAAAGAAGTGCATTTCTGCAAGCTTTGTAGTACAAAGTCGTACTGGAAAGTACGTTCCTGCAAGCTTTGTAGTACAAAGTAGTACTGGGGAGTACGTTTCCGCAAGCTTTGTAGTACAGAGTAGTACTGGGAAGTACGTTCCTGCAAGCTTTGTAGTACAAAGTAGTACTGGGAAGTACGTTTCTGCAAGCTTTGAAGTAGTTCTGGCCAGTGGAATATTTCACGCCCAACCACAAGGGTGCCATCGACAGACGCACAGTCTGGGTGGAGTGTTCGAAGAAGGTGTTCAAGTCCGAGGACCGGCTGGCCCATGCAAAACGGAACGTTACAAACGGCCATCCAAAGGAGGCCAACAGCATAATCATGTTCCTATTTTGTTTTGAATGCGATGTTATCAAACATGGTTGAATTCATAAGAGATGTCTGCACTAGTGCTTTGGGACCTTCTGCCTCCTTTGGATGGGCGTTTCCAATGTTATGTTTTCAGTGGGTGTGAGTGGCGCCAGGATTGTTCTTCGAGCTTTTCTGGTGAAAATTTTCCTGCTTCAGCCGAATCTGGCACAGCTGCTGCGAGCAAGAACACTCCTGATGGAAATCTTCCTGCTTCTGTCGCAACTGGCGCAGCTGCATTGCAGGAACCTCTCATGCCATGGCCTTGTGATGAGGAGATTGAGGCAATGATGGACGATGCCTTTGAATTTTCGTGCGACTTTTGCGGGCCCAAAAAAGAGAGCTTCATGTGTTGTGCAGAGAAGCACCCATTACCTTGAAGATGCATCCCTTTTCGGTTTTTGTGATTGGCCCAGCAGGAGTTGTAACCCCATGTTGACTAAGCGCATTGTCCGGGCAATCCAATATATGCTCCATCTTTGCTCGCCGCAGGATGCTGCTGAAGGCGTGATGGCATTGCTGGTCAGTCAATTTGCGCGGGCCAAAAAATGAGACCGCTTTCTGTGCTGCTTTGAGGCTTCCGAAGTATGGCCCCCAGGTGTATATAAATATATATATATATATGGGTTTTTTTAACCGGAGCTCCCCGAACAAAACATGCCGAGGGACTGCAAATGTCGCGACTCGATAGGCACCTCGTCGGTGGTGACCATCTCCTGGTAGTGGCTGTTGAACCACCTCGAGACGACGTGTCAAGGAAAAGGAGCAAACGGAGAGAGAAAACGTTAGAAACCTGATATTGATATAAAGCACAGCAAACGATAAAATTATGATATGATTCTAAAGCATATATAGGTAAATAAATATGATATATATATATATGTATGTATGTATGTATGTATGTATGTGTGTATGTATGTATGTATGTATGTATGCATGCATGTATGTATGTATGTAAAAAACAATATATATATATATATATTGTTTTTCCACAAAATCCTGTTCTATCAGGGAAAAGGCAGGTAGGCCAGCAAAATTAATGTAAACTGGCGGTGGAGCTTGGCAGATTTGGCGATTCGGTTCCATGGGTCGATCGTACATGATGAACCTCTGCGGGATCAAAATGTGTCTGCTTGGTGTTTGGGCAACAAAACCCAATAAAGAGGAAACTGGAAGGTTGAAATTTCAAAAAAACTAACCAATACAATTTCTACTAAGTTTTGTCCAATGGAAATTGGGAGGATGGAAAGTCTTTACTGTATTGATTTTGAAGCAGCCAGAGCGGCTGAAAAACACTTGTGAAGTTCCACGCAAATCCCAGGAGTATAGGTAGTTATGAATCCTGTATCTAGCGACAACAAACAACAAACAACAAACAACAAACAGCAAACAACACACAACAAACAACAAACAACAAACAACGACCAACAACCAACAACCAACAACAACAACAACAGCAGCAGCAACAACAACAGCAACTGGCAGGCATTCTCGTGGGACACCCCCTGACAAGAAAAGACCGGGTTCATCCAAAACAAACGAAGGGAGAATGAACCATACTGGTTGGTGGTTTCAACCCCACTGAAAAATATTAATCAGTGGGAAGGATTATCCCATATATTAATATATATATATATTATGGAAAAATAAAACCGGTTTGAAACCACCAACCAGATATATTGTTATTCCACTTATTAACCATGTTTAACCACTATTAACCATAGATTAATCATGGTTAAACATTATTAACCATAGATTAACCATAGATTAATCATGATTAACCATAGGTTAACCATTATTAACCATAGATTAACCATTATTAACCATAGATTAACCATTATTAACCATAGACTAACCATTATTAACCATAGATTAACCATTATTAACCATAGATTAACCATTATTAACCATAGATTAACCATTATTAACCATAGATTAACCATATTAACCATAGATTAACCATTATTAACCATAGATTAACCATTATTAACCATAGATTAACCATTATTAACCATAGATTAACCATTATTAACCATAGATTAACCATTATTAACCATAGATTAACCATTATTAACCATAGATTAACCATTATTAACAATGGGGACTGATGTGGGGATGATATGGGGATATGGTTAGGTTAGGTGGCGCAGCAACCAGTTTTGACTCATCGAATCCGCCGATTTCTCGGCGTCCGGGCATAACTGAGCCGAGTCCCTGTCTGATCCCAAAACGGGATGTTAATGATGGTTGATGGTTGATGGTTATTATATATGCTTAATGATGGTTTATAATAATCTGGTTGATGGTTGACCTAACCCTGAAAAAATGATGGAGTTTGTCAGTTGGGATGCTAACATTCCAAACATATGGAAACATATAATATATATAATTCAGGTTCCAAACCACCAACCAGATCATCATTTCGAAAAAAATGAAAAAACTGATTCCGAAATTAGAGCTACTGGGGCAAACATCCAAGTCCTGTTCTCCAAGACACCGGTCTTCCAAATCAATCTCCTGGGGGCGCGCCATGCGCGCCATCTTTCAGCGGCAAAATGGGGGATCAAGGACCAGTGCGAATGAATCCTCATCCAGAAACGACGGAGAGAATTATGATATACCCTCTGGTTCTTTAACATAGCCATGGAAAATGGCCCATTTAGAGATGGTTTACCTATTAAAAATGGTGATTTTCCATGGCGATGTTAAATAACCAGATGGATATATGATATAATTATTCCATATTATTCCTATTCGTACACACGAATCGTAAATTGAACTGACTATGTATGTTTTATGATCATACTTGACAATGTATCCATCAATCATGTCAATGATCAGTGCATCGTCAAGCACCATCAATGAAAATAAGAAACTTCACATCATGTTCCCATTAGAATTGGCAAACATGATCAAATCGCCACCTACCCCAATATCATAGCCCCATGCTATCCCCCATGATTATACCTACTAGATCCCACTATATCCCAATGATGTACCCACATTACCCTCTGGTAAACAAACAGTTTGCTATTGAAAATTGTCATTTATAGTTGATTTACACATTAAAAATTGTGATTTTCCATAGCTATGTTAGTTTACCAGAGGGTATCCCATACTTTGAATCAGCGCATCAGCCACCGACACTGCCGCCACTGCCGACCGGCCAAGCTTCGGTAGAACCAATCACCGTCCTGGCGTAGACGGGCCCGCGCTGTGGCCCGTCTACTGCGAAGATTTCCCGGATCTCAACATGGTGATATTTCCGGTTCCTAAGCCGATAAAGTTCAACTGTCATACCGGGTAACCTAAATCCACCATGCTTGTATCTATTTGTTGTATACCTGCATCATTGTTGGTTGATCTTGGTTGTATATCCTACTGTATATCCGATCTGACATCCCTGCTAGATCTCCATTTCAATGTTCACCTGGCTCGACTCCAGATTCAATGGATTGGTGGGAAAATTTACGGGAAAGCCCCATGATCTTAATGGGAAAATCTATGGTTTCCGGTTAAGATTTTCCCTTAAACCAATCCATTGACAGATAATACTGATTCAACTCTAAGTCTAAGCTGTCTTAAGTCTATATAAACAGGCTGATACCACCATTGGATGGAAATTCTTTACAAGTTACCCTCTGGTTATTCAACATAGCTGTGGAACATGTCCGATTTCAAAAAAACATGTGTGTGTGTACTAAAAAACGGATTTTCCAGTTCGCAAACCGTTTCGCAAACCGTTTTCCAAACGAAATCACCAGAGGCTCAACTCTTCCATCGCCCTCCATCGCTTCGCCCAGACACTCAGAGGCTCCGGAGCCAAACCTGGCTGAGGTCACTTCCACCAACGACAAAGTCATGACACCTGGGAACTGCTGGGGCCATGTCGAAAGGAAGGTGGTGAAGTGTAAATCCTATATGTAAAACCATGGTTTATGGTGGAGTGTTTAATATGTATATATATATATTTTTTTTTGTTTGTTTCTTTATTAGGATGGGATGACACGTGCCAAAAAGCAACAAATCTAGACCCGCATCTCACAGCATCGACCTTGCTGTTCGATAAAATCCCTTTGGCGCGGACAAGTTGCAATGGTCCGGAAATCTCACCTCGGGCACGGTCTCAGGACAGCACATGTGGCCGCAGGTTCTAGGATTCTAGGCTAAATCAGCTGAACATGTTCTTTTCCACTTCGCCACAGAAATGTGCCATCCCAGTGGCCGAACCAAAGGCATGACACTTGTTGAACTGAGGATGCAAAGTATGTTTCCGCACGGTCAAATTGTCCTTCAAGTTATAGACCTCAGGTGGGAGCGAAAAACGCTTCGTCCTCCTTTTGGGATTTGGGTCAGAATCCCTTCCTCCTAATGTTTAAACACCTCCCCCCAGAAACCATGGTTTAGTAAGGGATTTGCACACATTTGGGACCACTCAGGGGGTGTGCAAGTTTGGAGAGATGGGATTCTTTCAAGGCCTAAGATAGGCATCTTTGGCTGACGAAAAGCCATGATGATCTCCTCATTCCAAACACCCTCTCAACAGAGCTGGAGAGTTACCAAGTTGTGGATGATGTTCCTATTCTAAACGGAGATTTTCGCGACATTCCTGAAAGGTATATCAGGTATACCCTCTGGTAATTTTCCACATGGGCATTTTCCCATTGAAACCTCCATCCAGAACGGTGACTTTTCCCATGGAAAAACCCTCGATGCCGGCTACACGGTTGGTGAGCTCTAGGCTGCCCGGCAGGATTCTGCTCACTACCTGCGTGAAAAACATGGGGCCCCCAAAACCACACAACCAAGCAGAATGGCAGCTGAAGAAACTAAATAAGATGTTTTACCGTCTAATGGTTCTATCAATAACCCAGCAGTGGTCATGTGCTAAACACGGAGAAAAGACACATACCTAAAATAAAATGATTTTTCTGGGGATAAACCTTTGAATTTCTCATGAAATTTGCTATATACATGATCCGTCCCATTCCCATAGATTTCTGCAGCATTGACTAAACCCCATCTGCATCCCAAAAGAAGTAGATCCACCACAAGCACCAGGGTTTCGGTTGGTAGGAGAAACCAATTCATTAGGCACAATTGTGATCAGCTTAAATATGTTTAAAGAAAGCCAATTATTCCCCATTCACAAAACTCCACAAATGGAATAACACCATGCAGGGACTTTAAAGCTCACCTACGATGTGGTGCCTTCAAATTATATTCGTTGGTTTAGTTTCATCCAATGAGCTCGTTTTGCCATATACGCAACAGTGAAATATGAGTGACATAAACCAACTTGTAGCTAGTCTCCCTGATAATTTAAAAATTGCCATGTTTTTGGAGGTAAAATCTCCAGTATATGTAAATCGCGGTTCAGCCCCGTATTCTTGCAGCGGTTCTGTAAGTCATTGCTAACGGTTCAATCACAGGTCTGCAAGGGTTAAGTGATGAGGCAAAACGCGATCGCCCAATCATAAATAAACCAGCCAAGTCACCAACCATTTGGGGGTAATTTGCCATCCGAAACTAGGCCCAATTTCATGAACCTCATGAAGGATATGGTCTTGGGGATCGTTATGGTTTTGCCATATGAAAATTTCAACCAAATTAGATCACTATTTTAGATGATTTCCCCCCTGAATATCCCCATGGATATCCCATGATCGTCCCATTATATCTGGTAAAATCCCATTCTAGATCACTATTTCAC